GGGGGAATATGCACATGGTCAACTACATGTGTTGGTGACGATATGGAAATTCTAAGGAAATTTTGGGAACTCTTGGTTGGTTTCTGTACATTTCTACTCTAGTTCGTATATAAACTCCTATAATCAGTGAGGAAAACGAAAACATATATTCCAACACTGGGGTTACCACTCGTCAACTTGTAGGAGGATTGAGCTGAATGGTCAGCCCCTATGTGATGCCGCATAACGATTTGTTGAAAGTGAGAGTCTCCTCTGGAAGCCCCAGAAGTGATGCAGGCGAGCATGGCCCTTGATGATTGTCTCGATGCTTTGGTTTTGCGTTGTCAATCTCTACTAGCATCACATAGTCTCTCTCTCTCTCTCTCTCTCTCTCTCTCTCTCTCTCGCTCGAAGCCGATTTCGGCTAGGCGGCCAGCCAATGCTTAGCACACATCAGCGGCTTTTGAGGTCTTCGATAGTCGGCGAGGGTGACCAGTCCATCTCCGCAGTTTTTTTTAATCGTCGTCTCATCTTATCAGCTCTCGTTTCGCAATCCACCTTTCGCATCTATCCTATCTCCGGCTGGAGCATAGCAATGTTCTGCGCCGTCGAACTCGGCCAAGTTGGGCTATCCGAATCTCCCATTTTCTTCGTTCCTTAGCATCGGATTTTGTAAGACCGACCGCTCTCATATCCTCATCGATAAGGTCACTCCATAGCTTTGCCGTGCTCGATCTTCTCACTGCTCCGAGATGCGCCGTGGGATCCCACGATAGTAATCTGTTCACTGGAGACGCAGGGTTAGATCGAAGGACATGGCCGTACCAACGCAGGCGACGCATTCTGAGGACTACGGAACAGTCGGGGCACCCTGATCTACTCCAAATTTCCTCGTTAGTAATGTGCGACATGAACGATATTCCGAGAACCCTTCGAATACAATTGTTATAAAACGTGCAATACCTTTCGCATTCTTTTGTCGTCAATGCAAGGCACTCACTGGTGAATAGCAGCACTGAGAAGACCGAAACCTTCAACACAGTGAATTTAGCTCTCAAGGAGATATCGTGGGATTTCCACACTGCCCGTAATCTTGCCATTCTTTGTCCTGCTGCTTTTATGCGCTCCGTAATCTGTTTTTTGTTGTTGTGTGAATCTGAGAATATATCCCCAAGAATCTTCATCTCATTAACGGCTGCGATAGGCGATCCTCCAATATCGGGTTGTTCCAAGTGTCCATTTATTGTCAATCGTTTACACTTCTCGGGGGCTATGACAAGATTCGCGGCTTCTCCGTCTTCTCGCACGTAACTAATGTGTTTCGTATTCCCCATTGCTGTGCTTGATGGAAGGGTCACATCGTCTGCAAAGGACAGCTCATTGAGCATTGTACCCATCTTTTGTCTGCCAATATGTGAGCGAGTTAAGCGTCTGGGTTGCTTGTTAGTGTCCAATAAGCGGAAGCCATGCGGAGAGTTCCTCAGTCTTTCGCTGAGCACTCGATCTAGGCTGCATATGAAGAGTATCGGGCTCCAACAGTCGCCTTGTCTTAAGCCACGGTCGAGGGGAATAATTCGTTCCTTTGAGCTTATCCGGATGCTTGCTTTAGCTGACTCATAACAGTTACGGATGATCCGTACGTATTTCGGATGTACACCAGCCATCCTTAATGATTCATATACATGCGACCTAGATATTCGATCAAATGCCTTGCGGAAGTCTATGCTCGTTAGTGTGAGCGGTAGATCATATAGCTTGCACTTATCTATTAAGAGTTGTATTGCATGTACTATCTCCAGGCCAGACCTTCCGGCCCTAAAGGCCGTCTGTGATGCGTCGACCGAACTGTCCACCTGTAAATATATTCTGGCCATAAAGATCAAGCTGAATATCTTGGTGATGGCGCTCTGGGACAATACTGTACGATAGTTCTCGCAGTCCTTTCTGGATCCGCTTTGTAAATGGGAGTAACCTTCGAGATGTTCCAATCGTCTGGTAGGCGTTCCGTTTCGAAGCATATCGAGCATACCTTATGCACCCATTTTGCTATTGCTTTCCCACTTTTATACAGCTCTGCTGGGAATTTGGTACTTAATGGTCCCGCCTTCCTCACTTTCAGCGTTTCTTGGAGCACATTCCATATTGCCTTCTCGTCGTTCGGACGGAGTTCTGTCATCCTCTCTATTTGTCGTGTTTTACTGGCTCTTTTCTGCTTTCTCGTCTTTCGCTGGGGTGCACCTCCGCCTTCTTCGTCTATTTGTCTTGCGGCTTCTAGGGCTCCTTTTATCTGCTCTTGTAGCTCATTCCAAGCCTCATTTGGGTCGTTCTGCGTCCTACTATTCGCATAAGAGTCGCTCAGCTTTACGTCGAATACTTTTTGGCATCTTGGGTCCGTGATCAGCTTCTGTACTCTTTCCCTGTCGAGGATTTCTTTGCGTCGACTTGTAGCGTTGTTTAAGTGCAATCCCATGCGGCCCCATACTAGCTTGTGATCAGTCTCGATTGGATCCGGATCTGTTACTCCCATTGCCTCCAGCATGTTTATGTAACGTCGTCTTATCAAGATGAGGTCTAATACGTTGCCGCCAAGTTGTTTGTTTGGATGTTTCCATGTTGGTCTGTTTGCCAGATGCTTAAACTTATCCCACTGCCCGATGCATATATCATTCATCTCGACTATTTTCTGTAGTAGTTCATAACTGTATCCAGTGCAATTGAAGTCCCCACCTATGATCAGCATATCCCTCTGTGATACTCCAGATATCACCTTTCCTAGGCGATCAGAAAACGTAGAGTAGTGTTCTGGCGGGTTGTTCCGGTTATTAGCTGGCCAATAAACTCCTGTGATTGTTATTTTGAAGTGTCTGTTGTAAAATCGACAGGACACTATTCTATCATGGTGCTTAGTCCATGATATCAAGCAACTGGTTGCAATCGGCGATAAAACCAATTTAGTACCGCTCGATGATGCATTCACGACCGTAGAGTTGCCAACATTATCTGGTAGGGCGCATTGTGACTCGCTAATGATCAACACGTCTAACTTCTTGCGTTCCATTAACTCCGCTATACCGTGCATTTGCCCTTCTTTTCGGGCTGTGCGGATGTTCAATGCAGCCACAATACATTTACGACGTTTTTGGAGCAAATTTGGGTACCCGACTGTTCGTGCCCTAGAGTTTATCGTGCGGGACTCATGCCCAATAGCGGCGCCGACCTTATCACTACACCCTGCATCCCCAGATCCCAGACCTACTATCTTTTTGGCCTGCGCTGAGGCGTTGTCTTCCGGCGACGCATGTACTCCTTTTGTCTTCACCTCGAACCGATGCTGCAGCTGCTGTGCGGAGCTCTGATAATCGGCACGCGGCCTATATTGTACATTAGCTGAGAAGCTACGATTTATCAAGTTGGGGGATCTATCTTTACTATTGGGCCTTTTTCCCCTCTTTTCACTTTTCTTTTCAGTTTCTTTTAAAGCAAAATCTATTTGGCCTCTTGATTCCTTTTCTATTTCTTTTGGGAGATCTAAGCGAGCTTACTGCAATATTAGGCGACGATAAAACAAAAGGATCATTATCAGACGGAGAGATAATCGAACAAGAGTGTGATATTGCATTTTTTGGAGCTTCATCAATACTATTACGACTACGACTACTGTGCACTTTATCTAGAGAAATGATATCGTTTTGCGAAAATGGTATGCTTGCAAAAAAGTAAGGATCTATTCCACTAGGATCATAAGCTTCATTTGAGAAATCTATCTTACTGATGGTATTCACATTATCTGGTATAGCTACATTTTGTGGGTGTTTCACTGAAAAACCTGGTGCTGACGAGAACACCCGGCCATGTAGGAGTCATTACCCAAGTTCGTCATAGCTCTCTCTTTGTTGACCGCCAATAGCCTTGTGAGATTATCGACTTGCATCTTGAGGTCGGCTATGTCAGATCCCCATTGGGATGTACAATCCCCTGGTTGCACTTTCCATGCCTTTGTCCCTGTGTGACGGCGCTTCCTCATGTGCGCTGGACGCCACCACTTCGCAGCTAAACCCGCACTTCTCAGCAACGACGTTTTCTCTTTCATAAATTCGTTGGCTGAAGATACGTCGCCAAAGTTGATGAAGATCGGTCGCGGCTTTCTTGCATTGGCATCGAATAATCCGATTCTCTTCACAGTTCCGATCGTCAAAGTCCCACAATCTACCCCAGCTTCACGGAGGCCCTTCAATAGTTGGTCTCGTACCGTTGGTCTAGTTGTCGTCGTCTTATAGCCGTTCTGGTTTGTGTTAGTGTCTCCTTGTTGTAGCATGTCGGACTCGAGTGGTTCACTTATACCAAAGATTAGTATCTTTGTGTTTTGTTTGTAGTCAAATACATCATCCATTTGTATAGGCGCACGGGGGGTAAGCCTTTGAGTAGCACTGTTACCTACCCCAGTGGTCGTTGACTGTAGCATAGCTGGATGAGGGTTTTCTCTCTGGGGGGGCTCTGTTTTATTGCGGGTGATGATAGAGTGCATATCTTTCATCATACCCCCGAAACCATTTAGCTGCTCACTTATCCTCTGCTCCAATTGTATGAATTGGACAGCATGTGCTTTAACCTCGTTATGGAGGTCCATAACTCTAGATTCCACTCTTTTAATCTTGCTTTCCAATAATGTGATACACATTCTCACATCCATTGGTTTTCCCGATTCATCTTCTCCAACTACGGCGTTCTGCTTTTGTGCGACTTCTTTCATTAGCTTCTCGACTTGCTGCTGCAGCTGTTGAATAGGGTCGACGTTTGAGGGTGACATGAGGGGCGCAAAATAATGCAAACTTGAGCCAGATGGCTACAGTGTGCGATGCTGGAATGATTCAAGTGGAATCCATTCTCAAAAGCGAAGTCGTGTTCAATAAACACGAATCAAAAAGTTGAAAATGGATCTCGGAAGCGCTCCCAGAATAAATTCCGACTCGCGTTCAGTAGACACGATTCTTAAAATCGATTCCAGCAAGGATTCCAGAATGGACAAATAAAATACATGAGCTGCTGGTACTTCTGTCGTTGTCGTACAACATTGGCGTAACTTCAGAGCATATTCCGCTCTGTGTTGATTGGAATGAGGGTGTATTGCCCACAAAGCACTCATCATGATAATGGCAGAAGAGATAGTTAGGCTAACTAGTAAATGTGTCGGTATGGTTTATAGAGATTATCGGGACCTCAATCCTATGACAACTTAATGCAGTATATGATGACCCTAGGTGCTCTAATGCACTTGAACACAAATAATCGGACGGCAGGGTTACAGACATTATAATAATGGAGACGGCCAAAAAGAAGTAGAATGAGATACGAAGGGAAGTGTCTATATAGTCCTAATTTTAAGGCTATATCACTTCCCTATGATCAACGATGGAACGATGATGATAAGAATAAGTATGAACCAAGATGCTCTGAAAGGTTTAGGGACAGAATTGTTGTCTGTAAGGGTGGAGTCAAGAATCCTCCTCCCATTCAATGCTTGGGTTTGACGATAGTTAGGGCCAATAGAGACTCCATTATGCCTTAGTGTCCTCAGCCTATTCAGTTGATCCTCGCTGATTGTCTGGATGGTCTTAGCAACAACCCATACCATAACTTCCTCACAATCAGGAGTAGTACCAGAGCCATTGTAAAGGTAGAAGTTGGTCGATAAATCTTGAGGGATCATGGCCTCCACATTGAAGGAGTCCAGTGCTCCCATATTACTATCGTTCATCGAGTCTAAAACCTCATTAAGCCCAGGCGCTGGATCACCAACCGTATAAAGAACGCCTATTGCAACAACTCCATCGGAGTGTTCTAAGGCTTCAGCGAAGTCACGATATTTGCTGTTGTAATTGGCGAAATGATATTCGAAGGCGTAGGAGGTAC